GAAAGAGCAAATCCTGTACTTTCACCCCATGAAAAAGTGCATCACAGAAATGAAAATGAAGTGAGTTATGGTCGCTGAAAGCCCAAAAACTCGCTTTTGCACGAAAAATGTTCGAACGTGTGATTTTCTCGAAAAATGAACTTTGAAAAACGGTTTGGTGCTTGTTAGAAAGAGCAAATCCTGTACTTTCACCCCATGAAAAAAGTGCATCACAGAAATGAAAATGAAGTGAGTTATGGTCGCTGAAAGCCCAAAAACTCGCTTTTGCACGAAAAATGTTCGAACGGGACAATTTTTTGAAAAAGGGGACAATCACTAAACTTTTTATACTATTTTGTTAGAGAAATATTTGAAGTTTCTGAAACTTTTTACAGATTTCCAAAATGTCGCATACGAAAGATTTTATGGGCCTTCAAAGTTGAAGGTGCGCCTTCTTAGAATTTTGGGTTTTCCACTTCTAACAGAAGTACTTTCCGGAGAGTTAGGCAATCCTTGTAGTTTTCTGGAAGCGCACCTCAGGCACAGTCAAAATCTACCTCAACAAGTCAAAAAAATACGTCCCAAGAAAGTTATTCCCCTCTAAAATTTTTTCTTCGCCGCGTCCCGTTCTTCCAGCGCCCGGGTGATACCTGCCGCGCTCCAAGGCCGACGCGACGACGCGCAGACGCTTTCTGGCGCAACGGATTCATGTCTAGCACTCTTATTAACAAAAACAGGGGGTCGCAACTGGACCCCCTCGAGAGCTAGGGGGTCGCAAAAATCCCGAAAATGTTCGAACGTGACGGTTGACCCTGCTCGCGCCTTTGTCGCGCACTTTAGAGCCGCGAAAGGGGAGGACTTCAGCGCTTGTTCGCTTGCCTGCTACGCTTGGGTATGGAACAGGCGAGCGCGCCTAATCCCGGAGCGTGGCTTTAATTTCCCTGCTAGATGGCTGTGTACATACTCTTCGCTGCAAAATCGTCTCGCTTCTTTAAGAGGCCCATCTGCCTTTCGAATTGATATATTTCCCCTTCTTCGACCCCCCACCTACCGCGTACACTTTAGTGAATTTGTCCTACCTTGACCGGGACCGGGAAAGTTCTTGCATTTTTCTGAATATTTCAGTTGTGAACAGGAGACAACGTACAAAGTTTTACGTAAGCAGGTTCACTTCACGGAGAGAAACAAATGAAAACCACATGCTGGACGGTCGACTGTAGATTTGGGGGGGAGGGACACGAATAAAAGGAAGGAAGTACGTCTTGTTTCGGCCGCTTATCAAGCAACGTGTTGAAAGAATCGGGTTGAAGCATCCTAACTCGGAGAATAGGGGCAAAACCATCAAAGACAGTAGAAAAGAGAAATGTCACCATAGGTGGGGGAAGCAACACCGAAAACGA